TATTTAATTTATAAAAAAAAATTAAGTAGAATAAAGAAACTAAAGAAATATTTGAAGCTTTAAAGATAAATTTCACTTTTGTACCAATCTTGTATTGCATTAATTTTTTTAAGATTTTTTTTTATAGAAAAAAATAAATCAAATATTACCTTAAATGTAGTTTATTTATAAATGGAAGCAAATGACAAACTTCACCTTATAGTTTTTTATTTAAGAATATTTTTAATAGCCAAGATAATTTATAAGATCTATTTTTAAAAACTTCTTCTAATTATGAATTTATTTCAAGAATTGCACTATTATGTTGAAGGCATTTTTAGTCTAGTAACTACTTATACAAATCACAAGAATCTTAAGTATTTTATACCAACATATATTTTAAATTATTGCTAAGACTATTAGAGCATGTCATTATCAAAATTTGTATTTAATATCACTTATCATCTAAAAAAATAACAATGTTTGTTAAATACTTTGTCTAGATGTTTTTGTTTTGCATTAAAAGAAAGACCAGAGCTTCTAATGAATAAAAAAAAATTCTTTTGAAGCCAAAACAACTTTATTTTTGAAAAATAAAATCATCATTAATTATTAATTCGATATTTTTTAATGAAATTCAATTAAGTATGTCATTAAATCTGCTTATTTATTATATCAAAAATTATTTTTAAAATTTTTATAATACTTCTAAATTTGAATTTTAGAATAGTCTATTATATTTTGAGAGGTTCTTGTATATCTCAAAAGATAAAGTACAATTACTAGTTCTTAAAAAATTTCATAATTTTCTAATTGCAAGATATTATGAATACAACAAGACCTTATAATTAATTATAAGATATATTTAGTAGTTTCAAATGTAGACGACAATTAAAGACTTTGTATAATTATTTGATATTTGTTCAAGATCAAAAACTCGTCATTAAAGACCTTATGAATTTATTCAACTACTATCTATACCAAAACAACCATGATCATCTACTTCTATGGATTTTATCATGAATCTTCTCACATTAAGTTTTCTTGGCTCTATATTTGTAATAGATTCAATAATATTTCATTAAATTTATGTAATCTTTACCATATAAAAAAACTACTACAAATGAGGAAACAACTAATTATTTTCTTGACAACATCTAGTACTATCTTGGATAATTTTTTTGTGTATTATTTTAAAATAATTCTTATCTATTTTAAAAAATTAAATAAATATAAAAAATATTTTTATTTTGTATTAAAAAACTTATAAATATATATTTCACAAAATATAAGGTAAAGTTTTGGAATATATTCTTTCAAATAGAAATTTATAAATAGATTCTAAAAGAATATATAATATTATAGATCATATGATTTAATAAATTATATATAAAGTCTCATGATTTAAAAAAATATTAAGTTAATATTGGATAATTATAAAGAGCTTCTTTCAAATTATTGCTTAATTCATACAATTAACTTCAATAGACAATTGAAAAATAGAAAAAAGATATAAAAGTGGAATTTTAAAGTTTAAAAAAAAAAAAATTACTTTAACTCTACTAATTTTTTGTTCTTAATTTTTAAGCCATTTTATTTATAGAAATATATTCATCAAAATTTTCTATAATAATTATTTTATTAAAAATAGATTTAGATAATAGATATGATTCTATTGCCTTTTATCTAAGAAAGTTTTAATAAATTAAAATTAGTTATAAAATTTGCAACAAAGAGTTCTTGGATAATATAGATTTATTAAAAAAATTAGGATTATTATCTGAAATAGAATTCTAATTCAAAAAAAGTTTATATCAATTATAAAAACCTTGAGCACTTAATGTCAATATAAATCTTAAATTATTGTCAAACGTGTTAGAGCATGTTTTTATTATAATTTGTATATAGTTTTATATTTTTTTCTTTCAAATAAAAAAATAATTTTTAGACGACTTATATAGAGATTCTTGTCTTTTTTCAATATAAATATATATATATATATATATATATATATATATATGTTGCATATGAATAAAAATAAATTATTTTTATAAAACTGCAAAAATTATATCTTTGAGCCTTAAATTCAATAATTTTAGTTCTTATAATATTTTTTAACAAAATCTATTTAAGTACATTGATAAATTAATTATTTTAATGTTAAAAAAAAATTATAATTAATCTATTCAGTTTTATTTCAAAGATGATTTTTATATTATGGATATTCTAAAAGGTTTGGCACAACTTTGTATATTTTAAGCAAAATATGACTTTCTTGCAATAGGATATTTTGGATACGACAAAATAATGGAGCCTTTTTCAAGAGATTTTTGGTAGCTTCAAAAAATAAATTTTATTTTAGCTCCGCATTTTTTTCATCTAAAGTTTTCAAAGTTTACAAAACAAATGAATCAAATTTTATATTATATTAAATTTTATTATAAATAGATATATATGATAGACTTTATCATATGTTATTTTATATTATTTTATTTAAGAAGATTCTCAAAAATATGAGATCCAAAACATAATTTTTTTATAATTATAGATTAACCCTAAAAACTACAAGAATATCTAAAGTATGATTTTAATCCAATTATACTTTATATTAATCACAAGAACCTTGAATATCCCATGTTAATACATGACTTAATTTGTTGCTAAGTCCATAGGAATATATCTTTGTCATAATTTTTATTTTATTTTATATCTATTTGAAAATAATAATAATAATAATAATAATAATAATAATAATAATATATAATATGCTTTGTTTAGGTATTCTTATCTTATATGAAGAGAGAGAGAGAGAGAGATTTCATATGATTAACATCCAATAATGTTTTTAAATCTATAGCAACTACATCTTTGAATTATTAATTTAACTATCTTAATTTATACTCTTTATATAAATGAAGTTAATTGAAGTAAAAACTTATTTTTAGATTTTAGAAATAATATTTATAATAATTTCAGTAATTTTTATTTTAAATGCAACCTTCTTTATTATAAGGACAATTATGTATTTTTAAATATCAATCACTTTTATGTATATTTTAAGCACAACATGACTTCTTAATAGCAAGACATTTTAGATATAATAAAAATTTAGAGATTATTTTAAGAAATTTTTGATAGCCTTAGTTATGAAAAGTTATTAAAGCATTTGATTAATCTTATAATAATTACTCTCAAGCCAAGACTCTGTGTTATTAAGTTTATAGATTTCTTTAACTTCTACCTATACCAAAGCAATCTTAGTCATTTGTTTCAATGGACTTTTTTACAAATATTTCTATTTAAAAATTTTACAATTTTTTTTTTTTTTTTTTTTGTTATATTGGATTTTTTAAATCAAAATGACACATTTATATCTTGTACAAAAATCTAGATTAATCAAGAAACATTTTTTTTAATAATATTCATTAATATTAAAGACTTCCAAGAGATATTTTATTTGATTAAGGACTTTATTATATGTCAAGGTTCTAGAGGACACTTGTCAACATATTAAAGATTAATATCAAATTATATTTTTTATTTTAAACTCAAATAAGATTCTTAAGGATGCAAAGTGATCAATTTATTTTTTTTAAAGTCTAAAGATTAAATATGAATTAATAATTTTTAAATTACCTATCACAAAAGAGATTAAAAATTGCAAGTAAAAAAAGACATTAGAATATATCAAAATTAAATACAAGACTAGGAATAAAAAAAATACTTCGTTTGTTCAAAAATTTATATTTATAAGATTGAGGTACTTATTGTCTTGTAACTTTGTTTATACAATAGTAATTGGATTTATAAAAAAAATCAAAAGATATTTAAAGTTACAATTTGATTAATACCTATAATAAAGTTAATAAAATTAGAATTCTTGGTTTTTATTTTTAGAATTTTAAACCTTTAAAATCTTTATTTTACATAAATCTTAATTTTCAATACAAAATACTCATTAATATTGATAAACTTTGAATAATATTATTGTAAAAACACATATCTTTTTAAAACTAAAATTAGACTTTTATCAAATAAATTTTATACTATTTTTATGATATTTTCATTCTGATATCAAATTAAATATAAATTATCATAATACAAATATTTTATCAAGTTAGTTTTATACTTTATTAAATAAATATATTAAAATACTAAACATGTACAAAAAACAACATTTAGCAAGAAAGACCTTAAATCAAGAGGAATGTTAAATAGACATAGTTTTTTACTAAATTGACCTACTTATGATGAAGAATATGGTAATGATGAAGAATGTTGTAGGTTTTTATGGATTTTGGATCCAATAGTAGAAAAATGAATATAGTGTCATTTGTTTTCTTTTCATAATGGGTGGGTCTATTCAGTAAAAGCTTGGGTTTATTTAACATTTCCCTAAATCAATAATAAAAGATTGCCAAATGTATTTATTAAAAATCTATGCAATTTTTTCATATTTAATTGAATTTCTAAGATTTCTTTTGAAATAACCGTACTAAATATAATTTACAAAAAAAATCAATTCATTGGAACTAAAATATAATTCTCTTTTAATAATATTACTAATAATATAACAAAACAAGCAATAAAGTGTTTAACATTTGAAGTTGAATTGTTTGGTTGTCATAATAAAATATAATGTACATATATCAAGAAAAAAATTATATTAAAAATAATTAATCAATTTAAAATTACATTAAAAACGGATAATTAATATAAAATTTTTCACTTTGAAATATCTTTGAAATAAATTTGAAATTAATCTTCAAATAAAAAATAAAAAAAACAAAAAAAAAAACCAAATACTTTTCACATTAAAAATACAATGATTTTTTTAGAAAATAATTTTATACAGCTAATTACATACTACTCAAGAATATAATTAAATAAAAAATTGTGTTATAATGTGTGTATGTAAGAATATGTATATATATACGTACATACTTGTGCTTTCCATATGAAGCGGCACTCTGGATCCAACGGCTACTTGGTTTGAATATCCCCGACCCACCGCCTCGTCAGCTCCACCATCGCCTGCTCGCCTGCCTGACTGAATTCTATCTCGCAACATTGTTCAAGCCACCGATTCAATCCTATCAATCTCCGTTTCGAATAGTTCGTGCTTACGATTCCTGGCTTCAGCGTGAAGACTCACAAATCCAAAGTACACTGTGGTGCCTTAAATCCTTGGTGATCCCACCCCTACAGTCTCTAGCCGATAGCCCTTCAACCAGTCGGCAGTTTCATCAACGCAAGGTGTTGGGTGCATGGTGAAATTAGTTGTTCCTGCGGTTGTTGTTGCCTCAGTTATGTTTCTCAAGGTATCGAGTGGGAGTGAGTGCTGTTTAAAAAAGCCTTTGAATTTTGGGTGAGGTGGTCGACAAGTTTTCAGTTGATATGAAGAGCGGCGGTGAATCTGGGGAACGGAGTGGTGTGAGAAGACAAGAGGTAGCAGGTGTGAGGAGAACAGCGACTCTAGACGCGAGATCGGAGACTCCGAGTGGGGGAGAGAAAGGAATGGTTGCCAGCGGCGGCGATGGAGTTTGTGAGGCTGAAGTTATAAATCTCACTTCTTCCGATGATGAAGGATCGGGCGGGAATTCAGGTGGGTGAGGAAATTTTGACTTTCTCAGCTACGCACAAGGATTGGCATTAAGACTAAGGATTTCAATGTCAGAACGCTGATCGGCGCTGTTCTATACATTTTGTGTACCCTGTAGTTCTGAGAAGTTCACCGTGCTGAGTACCGGAATAGAGAAGAGCTGTTATATTTGCCAATCTGTGTTGGGGCAACACGAATTTGCATCGCGAATATCGACAGGATAGCCATATGGCATGTGGAGGTGTTAATGTCTGTAGGCTGAATTGCGAGATTGGGACATAGAGAATAGGTCAATATTAGGATATACACAAGTTTGACCTGTAATTGATTTATGTAGGTCTTGATTTTGGAACGAAACAGCGGGGAGATGAGGCGGGGGGATCGAACACAGTCCAACAAGTGTTTTTGCCCCATACGCCGAGAGGGAGACGTCCTGTGCGGATAGAGAATCCCGCGGACTTGACTCCCAACTTCCGTTCTGCAGCAGCAATGGCTGGGTGGGATGATGAGACTTTGCTTATGCTTGCTGTGGATTCACCAGCGCTGAATAGGTTGAACCCAGCAGTGGAGGGAAGTACACCCGAGGGTCCCTCTCGTGCCTCAAATTGTTCAGCTACCTGTAGGGGCTGCCTTGAATGTCGTGATCGGAAAAGAGGGATTCGCACACCTGGGCAAGCCGCTACCCCACTTAGTGCAGCACGAAGGTAATCCACGCCTTTCTTTTTTCTTTTTTATTTTTCTCTGCACGAGGATTCCATTTCAGTATCTCCATGGTAGTGCTCCAGCGGCAGCGTAAAGCTTTAACAATTCCAGAGCAGAAGGAGTCTCAGTTATCTCCTCGACGTGCCATTCTGTAGACCCAGGAGATTACGCCGGGTCTCTTCAAACGAAGAACCCATAATTCCTATTCCAATGGCCGTATTGAACGACGAAATTGATAAGTGTGGAGCTCCAACAATGAAAACTGAAGGTGCGGGTTGGTACTCAATTTCATTGATTTATCAACTAGGTATACTGTATTTATTGAGATGGATGTGAAGATGAAGCATGAGTAGTACTCTCAAACTCCTTGCTCACAAGTACATTGAGCATTCGAGATATCTGTTAATTTTCAAACTGCCTCATAGTGATCTATATCCTTCTTGTGCCCGTAGGTAGTTTGCAGCAGCATCCTTCTAAAGATAAAGAGAACAAGAATCCCCAACCTTGTGCCAACATAACTAGCTTGAGAGGCAGAGAAGAACCTGCAGTGGCCAACGTGTCCTATAACAATGCACTTCAGCTGGAGAAATTAAGAGAGGAACTCACTTGCGTGGTAAGCATTTTCCAAATACTGATACCTGTTTTCACATTATTGACATACTTCCATCGATGGAAAGGCTCAAGGAAGTTTCTCGTGCATGGATTTTTCGTTCTGCTCCAAATGTTAATGCACAGAACCAATCCTCACCTTTGTAACAGTATCTCCTCTCATTTGGAACATACCGCTCTTTTTCCAAGTAAAATTTTCACTGATAGTTTGAGCCAGCTTATCGGTTGGATAAAACTTTTCAGCTTTGGACAAGATTATTTATCTGGTGTTAGGGAGTATCTGATTAGACTCTTATTATTACCTAACTTGAGTAGTTTTGTGCTGCTCCCTAACTCACTGCGATCAGTTAAGGAGACCTCTAATGTGACTACCTGATTTCATAAGAACTTGTAATTTGAGATTTTGTTGGAATGCAGATCTGCTTGGATATATGCTTTGAACCCTCCACCACAATCTGCGGTCACAGGTAACCGATTTTAAGCCCAAACAGGTTTTTCTTTTTTCTTTTTTCTTTTTCATTTTCTCTTTGTTTGTGTACCCATCATTTGCTAATATCCTCTGCGGGGTCCTAATACTTTTAGCTTTCATGATTTCATGTCACTTCAACTTCTCTGTTACCATACCCAGCTGATACATCATGTATCTTCTGGAGTCGAAGACGTCGCTGATCATACTGACAAGAGCCTGAACTGTTTCAGCTTCTGCAGTGGCTGCTTGCAATCTGTGTACCAAAAATGTGGAATGCGCTGTCCAAAATGTAGACAGCAGTTGAGGTGTGTTTTTCTTGCCTTCATTTGTCTAGGAATATCTTACTAATATCGTCTACAATTTTTTAAATTATAGTTGAAGAACTCTCTCCGACATAGTTCTAGCTGACACTTAAATTCAGTTTTTGGAAACCGCGCCAACCATGAAAATTTGCACGTCTTCTGAAATCAAGGAAACTTGTAAATTCAACCAAGGAAAAATTTTGCAGTATTCAAAGCAGACCAAGGTAGACTACAGACAATGAAATGCTCGATAGAAGCGCTTCCAGTGGCAAGTTATATCATCGCCATTGTAGAAAACAATTGGTGCTAGGTGAATTGCAGTATTGACATGCTCGTAGCAAATGAGACAAGTATTGTAGAGTCACCGTGTCATCCGTCGTCTAAGGCTAAATTTTCGTGTTACAGAGCAACCAGTAAATTTGATTGCCCAATCAATACAGTTTTGTGGAATACGATTCAGTTGTTATTTCCCCAAGAAGCTGCTGCCCGATTGAAAGATCAAAAGGAGAATTGCCCAGGGAAAAATAACAAACCCGAAGGTGCCCCAGTGAGTACTGAGTCTCAAGTGCGCCCTGGGGTAATTCGAAGGATCAGTCGTCCCACTCCTTGGCGAGAACTGAGTAGATCTTCAAGAGGTACGGAACGATTGCGGCCTAATGCAGGAAGTCTAACATTTGCAAGGCCAGAGCGGTTGCGGCTCACGGCTAATAATCTGACATCGTTCCGAAGAGCGTCGGAAGTACTCGAGTCGGGACAATCGACTGCCGACTACCCAAATCCTTCCAGTTTAAGAGTGGACGGATATCAACAGCTTTTGGGTAGAAGATCAACCCCTTCATATAGGAGTAGGCAGGAGGCGGAAGATGCAGCACTAGCTGCAAGACTGCAGGAATCTTTCATATCTGAAGCAGGGCTATGAAAGAACAACGCCTGTATCATCTTCGTACTTTACTATCTGCAAAATTTTCGTATGACATGGGTTGTAGAGAAAATAAATGATATTATTACATGGAGCATGTCCTTTGGTAATTGTCCACAAGTAGATGCCATTCAGGTAGTTATTGCACTTATACAATGTAATATGTCGTCAGCAAATATGTTACTGGTCAGTGGTTCGTGCATGGTTTGTTGCTGCACATTGTCTTATCGTCAAAACGTGAACACAAATTGGAATGGGCATGTACATGTGCGTTAACGACAGACATCGTAAAAGATCTTAAATGAGGTTTATCTACTTTTCTTCCAGTGATTAGTTATTTCACATTGTTTACATGCTCAATGCTACATAGTCAACGAAGTGAAAAGAAACTATTGAGTATACAACTTTCATACGACGAATTGACAACTTTCATTTCGTTCAATTGTTAAAAGTATTTAATGCTCGTGCCTGTTAAAACTAGCTGTGCAGTATTTTGTCGTAGCAGTAATTAATCTCTTGGTCTACTCGGCTCTCGGGTTTTAATTTCTGGGGCATTCAGAGCTGACGCAACTAGGATTCGCTACCAATTCTGCTCTAATGTACAAATTGGCACAAAACTGTGCCCTACATGCGCTCCAAGAGCACTGCTCACTACTGAGGCATGTCCAGTCTCTACATGATAATAATGCTATCACAAACTTACTCAGGCGACAGAGAATTACTCATCATAGGAATTTCCCAGTCTACAGCGTGTAGGCTAGTGAGCTTGAAACAGAAGCAGAAGTTTTTGAGTCATCTTCTCCAGAAGAATCCGAGATGGACGACGCACATTCCATGGACAAATATTGACTCACAACTTGGGACCTGTGCCGTAGATCGTTGAAAGAAATGCCTCCAAAAGTAGCGCGCAGCTTTTCTTGCCCCTTGAAGCTGTGATCAAAGTTGTGATAGTTGTCTTTGATAGTTTTGAGGGTGTCAACCACCCTCGACATGCTGGGTCTTTGAGCTTCCTTCCTCTTCAAGCACCAGAGAGCTAACTCAGCGAGCTTCAAAGCTCCCTTCATCGGGCAATTTCCTTTGATGCGCGGGTCTAAGATGAGTTGCAGCTTGGATTCATCTTTAAGAAAAGGAGTTGCCCATTGCACGAAGTTCTTCTCGTCGCACATGAAGAATGAGTCGCGGCTGTACTTACCAGTTAGAAGCTCAAGCAAGACGATGCCGAAGCTGCGTACGTTGCTCTTAGCATGAGTCTGGCTTATCTTCATCGCCTGAACACAGAAGATTATCGGAGCAATGGTTAATAAAACTGGTTTTGACGTGGTTATGGTTCTTTAAGACAAAAGAAAAAGAAAGAAAAGAATTACTCTCAACAGATGGATGCGCTTTGATGAGGGATTAGAGGATCACCGTTGTGAACAGAAATTTCTTGTCAGCAGGCGAATTCGTCACTGTCAAGCCATAGCCAGCCAACCTAGGCGTGTAATCCTTGTCCAAAAGTACGCAGGAGGATTTGAATTCTCGGTACAAAACTTGCACAGGAGCTCGGTCGTGAAGGTACAAGAGACCACGAGCCGCGCCGAGGACAATGCTGATTCGCGCAGACCAATCCAACTGGATTTTGGAACGAGTTCCGCTAAGATAGTCGTGAAGGTTGCCATTAGGAGATAGCTCGAATACAAGCAGACGCTCTACAATCTTCGCGTAGTCTAATTTCACGTCCTCGTGCGAACAGTAACCTTTGACCAGGCATATGTCGGTGTCTGGCAACTGCGCCATCAATTGAACATCCGCTTTCCAGTCCTTCAAAGTCTGCATATCAACCACGCAAGAGAACACTGTCAGGATTGTTGAGACGAGCACTCTCAAGAATACCAATGGCTTCGTTTCCACCCACAAGAAACGAAAACTCCACCTGACTATCGATGGCGGCAAGCCGAACCACCGCCATTTCTTTCATTGTGTGCTCAGCAGCCCTGTTCTTCATACTCGCCCGATATACGGCGCCAAACTCCCCTTTCTCCATACAGCATCCCGGTGCAAAGTCTTGTGTGGCATCCATAAGCTCCTTGAATTCGTAAGATTCAAGACCAGGCAACAATTTGGTCGCCACAGACGGCGGCGGAAGAGGCAAACCTCGAGTAGAGGATTTTTTCGCTCGCCGAGCACTCCATGATCCAATCTCGCTCCGAACCAAAGAAGTTAATGACGATAGCTGGCTGGACGGAGTGGAGACTTCATAGCTGCCGCCCGAGTTGAACCGCAGCTCTGAGGTCGACAATGAGGAACCATTCCCGCACTGATCATCCTTCGGCTCCGGTAAAGGCAGCCAAACAGGCTTGGCACCACTTGGGGCGACTTTCGTATTCAAGACCACGGGTGGAAGAGGTTGCGGACGCCCTCCAAAGCTTTGATTTCCAGCTGTTCTACTGACGCTGATTCTCGCCAGAGTCTCCGCCCCCGAGGCACAATCGTATGAGAACGTGCTGAGAAGAGGATCTGAGAGGGTTCTGAACGACGGAGATTCCGCAACACTGTCGGCTAAAGCAGGAGGAGAAAACACGAAGGATTCTTCCGTGGCTTCAGTGTCAGTATTCATAATCGGCGCCGCGGCTTGGACGGACAATGCAGTCAATTTGTGGTCAGTAAGAGACTTTCCAAACCTTATTGTGGATATTTTCTTCATGTCCAAGACAGAAGAGCTGTCAGTGGTGAAAAGCTCCACATCTGGATCGTCGTTGCTGAAGAATTCGCCCTTGGAAGAGGAGCTGGATGAGGAGCTGGCCACCTCGCGCTTGTGTAACACGATCATGGAGCATGTGAAGCACCCGAGCAGTCCAAACTCTGTCACCGATTTCCGCGATGGAAATTTGGACTGTTTCGGTGATTCCTCCATCATCAAACTACTTGGCATGTTGGCTACGAATCAAATTCTTAGCGGCGCAATCCAGGAATGAGTCTCCAGGGATTAGTTCCACCTGGCTGCAGCGGTTACATTGATAGCTGACACAGAGAGTGGCGAAGCATCTGCAAAACGCAAGTACACACTTCATAATTCAGATACAGCTAGTAAATTGCAGCATTGATCAGAACGTCGAACTGTCCCTGCGGACTGACACTGCACCAGTTAGCAATATCGAGGCCGTGTGAACTAGATCATGCTACGAACAGTCCAAATGTGCAGCACTAGAACGAGTCGCGAGAGAGAATCTCACCACAAGCAATCGATCTCGAATTGGCGGATATCAGACAGATCTTGAGTTGCAATGTGAGGTACATGAAGGTTCACACCACTGCATCTCCTCGAACGCAAAAACTTGCGTGGACACCGCCTAATGCAGCCCCTCACATACACAAGGCCATCACGGTATTTACTCCAAGAAGGATATATGACGACAAACCGACTCAAGGAGCGACTCCCGAGGAAGCGGCCGCCAAGACCATCTGAAGGAATCAAGGACCAGTTGACCGAGTTCTCACGAGAAGGCTCCGAGCGGGGATGGAATGTCGTAGTGCACCCAGCCAACCAACCATACGGCAGATCAATTCTTCCCGCTCCACGCCCAGCTCCCCCGCATCAATCAACCAAGACTGATTCAATCCATCACCTTTCAGCCCTAAAACTAGAATCGCTCCTGGTGACGACAAACTGCAAGTATGGGAGCGAAAGATCCAGGTGACGGGAGAGGCAAGAGCGAGAAAGGCTCCACCGAATTTAGGAGCTAGCCCAGAGTCTGGGGGGGGCGCTTAGGGGGGGATTTCGACGGGAGCAGTGCAGGCATGATAGCAGCTCGTCACGCCATATTCGTGAGAGCTTATATATAGAACGGAGCACCAGTCACGGTCGGGTTTTAATAGCAGTTCCGTCGTGTCCAGCTGGGTCAACCGTTTGGTGTCAATGGCGCAGCAACTGGGGGCCAGGATACTCCCTGTCAATCACCCGCCGCGAAGGGTGCCTGTTGTTGCTGCTGCTGCCGCCGATCTGCCGCTTTGTAACGCCTGTGTTGCCAATTGCTGCTGCTGCCGCGCCATCGCCACAAGCGGTACTTGTACTTGGGGTCCTCCGGCTTCTTGCATGATCTGTACCCAAGTCTCGGGGGAACTGGTGCCATTGCGCATCCTCCTTCAACGCCATCGCTGTTTCCCTTCTTCCTACTTCTCTGACGGGTCGTTAATGGTCAGTCGATGAGATGTCGTGGTGATGAACGAACGAACGAAACAATGCATGAATGTTGTGCGATTATTGCCCCCCCATCCCCTTCACTTGATCATTCGTTAGTTCGTTTTTCTTAATGCTCTTCTTGTCTGCGTGGATTTTGAGAGGCTGCGTGGATTTTAGTTCATTTTATTCAGTGTTTATATTTAATTTTCTTGTGTTTGTGTGAAGGTTTAAGGTTTGTTGTTCTAGGTTCTTTGTGACCACTGAAATTCTTCCCTGCCAATTTTGACCAGGAGATGATGATTGATTGTCGATTGAAACATTTGTGGTTAGTTTGGACTGTTGATTTGTTGCTAAAAACACAGTTAGAATCACTTGGCTGCATGTGCCAACTCCATGTTTGACCTACATTTCACTATTTTTACTAATATCATTTTCAGTATGTAAGATTGATTAATGTAGTTCAAACCAACACAAAATTACACTGCAATGATTGATTTTTATGAAATACATAAAAGATTTGCATGCTTCCAATATCAAAATCTAATCTAATAAAAAGGTAGTTAGTAGCAGTACTGCAAGATGCATTGCAATAATATTCATTGAATGAAAATTAATGACAAATAAGGAATGACAAAATGGGATGAAGGCAAGCAATACCAAGGCTTGTTATAACAACAAATGGGAGGTGGTAGTATACAAAGAGAGTTTTACAACTTCAATAAAGAAGAGGATGGGAATGGAAAAGAAAAAAATAGATGTTGTATAAACAAAGATTGTTACACACAACACATTGAGTACTTCAAATCAATTATAAAGTATGTAATCTAAATTAAATGCACAACTAATACCCTCTTAGTAAAAGAATAAGAATCTTCATACAAATAAGTCAAACTATCTCCAACACCACAAAGAGAGGATCCAAGAGTGCAAGTGAGAGTAGAAAAGAAATCCTAAAGCTTTACTAAATAGCTAATTACCATAGCCAAGCAAAATCCTTACAATAAGCTTTTTTCTCTCAAAAATCACTCATAAGACTTGACTTAATAATAATGTTAAATGAAGGGATTTTTTTGCCTAAGTATTCAAACCCTAGTTGATGTTAACAAAGTCGACTAATGGAAAAAACTAAATGGATGAAAAAACCACTATACCACATACATTTGACTAGATTTGGCACTTGATGCCATATCATGTGATATAGAAGAGAAGGTGAGCATCCAAAGAGATGTGAAGAGACAAATGAGTTAGGAAAAAAATACATATGTTTTACTTAAGGTAGCCAAACCATTTCCAATAATTTAAGCATTTTGATATATTTTCAATATGTGTATAAAAAATAAAAATAAAATTCTATGTAGAGAAATAAAAAATCAGGAGGATTCTAGGTGTTTTCAAATCATTTTGTGCAAAAACATAATTACTATTAATGTTTTATCTCAAGATTTGATTTGATACAAATCTGACATATAGATCAACCTAATTTCAACAAGTGGCTGGTCACAAAATCAAGAATGCTTGATTCTAGCCAATTTTTTTGAATTGTCATAGTTTTTTTTAATTCCTTATCCAATGGCACTATGGAATTGAGGCAAAATGTGAAACTATAAGGTGTCAAAAATAATCATTATTATCATGTCAAGTTAATTGGAAATACACCAACCTATAGGTCAGAAATGGGAGGTGATTAAGAATGGGTTGACTACAGTAGTTGAACCTAAAGTTTGCTTGTTGTCCACACTATTGTAGTGGTGAGACATCACCCTGACTGACTGTCCAATATCATGTGAATGGATGCCCTTCTATAAGCTGCGTATGCCCATCATGAAATTTACATGATAATTTACCAGATTGGTAAGAGAAAATGTGCGCATGTTATGAGCTTTGAGAAAAGGAAAGCCATTCGGTCACCCTAGACACCCATGTAGAGGCTTCGATTGAATTTGTGGGGCAGGCACCATTTAAGAACTAGAAGTTAACCTGTTTTAAGTTTCAATCGAAGGTCCAATAATGTGCCTGCAATTCCTCAAGAAAGTGAAGGGCTCTGACTTGTGTGGAGCGAATCGACTGTAATCTTGACTAGCCTCACTCCATACAAACGTGGTTACCTCGAGTTTAAATGATAAAGCCTACGAAGCTCAATTTAGCAGGATCTATAGGAGTGTTAAAGTAAATGGTAGGCCACGTTTGGAGGTTTCTAGGCCGTAATGTACCTTATTAAAGCAGAACGCGGTGGGTAGCTCATGGTCATGCAGATATTTAAAGATAGGCTGCTTTTTCAGAATTATTTCAAAAGGGTAATGAGGATACACCATGACGGTCCTGACTTGATCGGTAAACACAGAAGGTTGATGACTCTACTTCCATAACAAGGGAGCTCTACCTTTGTCATGGGCAGCTGGTTCCACACGATTGCAAATGTCCGCATTTGCCGTCGATACGTATGATGATTTCTTGAAGTGGTTAGTCACGCAACGACTGTCTTTTCCAGAAACTCTTGGTTGACATTAGGTGAGTCACAATCGGGTAGTTGGATCGTTTGGGATAAAACGTTCCATGTTGTCAAGTAACCAAGGTGTGAAACAAGAGAAAACATTCAGGAAAATTCATGTTGCAGTTGTGACAGCAGACAAATATCTTAAAGGAACAGTGGCTGGTTGGCTAAAGAAGCAGGTCCGGCTTGTCGGGCCCACACCAGAGGTAAAACAGTTTTATTGGAAGCCAAAATCACATCCGAATGAGAAAAAAAGTCTTCTCTCTGTTCGCGCTTCAGTACTAATCACAGACATCTATGCTGGACCATGATTTGGTGGACTAAATGCTACCCTGTTGATTTGGAATAACAAAAATAAATAAGTCCTGTTTAGAATATATGTAAAAAGACATTGACCAAAAGTTTCAATCCTGGAGAACTTGATGTTCTCTAAAAGCGTTAAAAGTTTGACCAAGGTCTTGCAGTATATAATCTATAATAAAGCTGCAGAAGGTAGTTGAGCAAAGGAAAAATGAGGATGAAGTTATTCTCTAAAGAAAAAAAGAAAAAGAATCATATCATTTTGAATAGAAATTCTAAAGAGGCAAATGTACAACTACAAATTTCCTGATTCAAACCCTCATTCGTACTGCAGCGCAGGCCTCCCCGCAATAAGAATAGTAGATGTGTGTGCATAACTTGGAAAAGCCTGCACACGGATCACATGTCAATGACCGCTTTGCATTTGAGATGTTCACGAATACTTTCAAGTAAACAAATGATATTTTAAGAACCAAAGGGAAGAGAAGAGGGGATGCAGCTGTAAAGCATTTGCAGTGTTCAGCCACTTATTAAATGGAAAAACCACAGAAAGTATTAACCTACTGACCAAAGTTAAAAATCCACAAAGATCACAGATATGTACACTGATGAAGAGGTTTCTCCAAATTCAAAACTGAATTCCAAATTACTGGACAGAAGTGCACAACACACAGTGTCCAACTCCATTGCATCTGCACGAGTATAAAGTACGATACTAGAACACTAGTAAGCAGGTGAAATCCTTAAGACTTACCTAAAAAGAATACTCAGAACTGTAGATGCAAGGCAAATCCGCTGCTGTAATGAATGCCACCATTCGAAGCTAGCACACATAGTCTTCTCTCCATAGTTATCTATGGTTAAATTTTAATTCATTGGAAGCAATTTTCAGGACTCCTAAAATATTGATTGAGCCAATACTCATATCAGCAATCTAAAACATTGAAATGTGGTGATTAAATCCTGTTTACAAACGAACAATGTGTCAGTAATACTATACCAAAAACCGAACAAAGAAAACAAACCAATCATATCACAAAAGAGACTTCAAAGCCAGGATAACGTGTGTTGTTAGATTCAGTACATGGAATGAAAAAATTACAAACATGATCTGGCTTTGAACATAGATAAGCAACATTATAACAAAAATAGACCAGCGTAAACGAATGGTTCTCACAATTATCCTTGATCTCCCAGGCTTATGCTGTCCACCTTCTCAACAATCGTGTATTCGGATTCCACATCAGATGGAACTGATGCAGGGGACATTTGTTCTCCTACTACTGCAAAACCTCCATCCTTCACCTCCGGACTGCTTTCCTTGATTATGTCTGGTGTTAGAGTAGGAACTATGTCACCCACGTGTTTCCAGGTCATGTCCCACATGTTGTCCTGGCTTGGTTTAGTTAGTTGCACCAGGATCCCTTGAGAATGCATTACCTGCAAAACCAAATTCTATAAGCGGAGAGAGGTTGTGTATATCACTACTAAACCATGAGATGTACATACTTTCAGTCATAGAAATCCAAAGACAAACAGAATTTAGACCAGACAAGAAAGTAGAGTACGTATGAAACGCTTCATAGAATGGTACTCATTACTAACATGAAAACAGACGAGGCTAGGCAGAAGACTCAATCACCTGCAAAATATTTCGAAGAAGCTCAGGTATAAGCTCCTGCAGTTTTTCACTGCGTTTGCCGCGAAATTTGGCGTTTATGAACATTTCCATACGTTTCAAAACTTGGAGCCACAATGACTGAAAAGTAGGTAAGGTAACAAGCTGAGGCAGAAACTGTAAGTAAGACTTTGCGAGAAACTTGGTTGACAAAAAAAGAGTATCCTCCATGCCTTGATATTCTTTTGGGTGCCTAACAGCAAGATCCAGTAGCTCATCCAATAGCTTTAAAACCACCTGAAGAAACAATTGAGAAAAACGCGAGGAAACATTAAAGAAATAGAGAAAACCCGGGTAAAAAAAAAAAACAAAAAACAAAAAACAAAAAACAAAACAAACCAAAAAAAAAACCAAAAAAAAAAAAAAAAAAAAAAAACAAGGAAACTAAATCGACATATAACACATTCAAGCAATACCCAATGAAGCATCCTCACCTAACCTCCATGCTAAGGATATCGATGTGCGAAAATGCATCTGAGCTTTCAGCATGCTGCCCTTTTTAATAACGATCCAAAAATTTGACAGACTAATCAAAGTATTAAAGCCACAACAATAGATTGGCCCTTCTAGACATCTGACCAAATCAGACCTCCATAATTGGGCATCTGGGGAACACACCTGTTCAAGAGATTGAGCCAATAATGCTGGAGTCAAACTGATCATTTCTGCTGCAGAAAGGCAGCCTTGCAAACAAAGAATAGCGTGATCTCGCACTAGTTCTCTTTGTTCCAAGCATAATTTCATCAATAACTGCGCCAGACGCACCCACATCTCAGTTAACTCCTGAGAATGTCTGGAGAGTCCTTCCACGCTGTCAGTACCAGAGGCATCTGCACCCTCGGAGTGAACTTTTGACCATAATGTAAGACGTCCCACTGAATCCAAAAGTAGATCCAATGCACGCACAGACCGTCCCGGTCCCCCAACTCGAGCTTCTACAAATGCTCGAGCTGCATCTACACAGAGAACATAATTTGCAGGAGTCAAATGAGCTCCGGCTTGCATAATATACATAAGAGCCTCAAATCCTGGCTCAGAGGCCCGTGGGTGTCGGGCTGTTACGGTCAAAAGCGATGTCACGGTTCGCCAGCCCATCGGTGACTTGATATGTGCTGCATTTGTCCGTACTAAGACCATTACTTCCTGCGTTATTCGCTCACAAAATGCGTCTGCCACTCGGGGATCAAGCCTCAAAACGAGTTGCAATGATCTAAGGAGCTCTTCCGCCAGATCTTCCTTATAAGGAAGTAGACGTTGACAAACCCTCAATAACCCAAAGACAGCCTTCTCAACCAGCAACCCTGGGAAGACAGACGTCTGAATAATTCCAGCCATGTGTTCATAAACCCCTTGCCACAGAAGCATGATGCGGTCCCGGTTGTTGAGGGTGATTGTAATGAGGAGTTCTAAGCACAAGACTGCTGTATCCTCATCCTCTGCTGAGCCCCCACTCTTGTGAGGCCTGCCCGCGGACCATACAAGTGCTCTCGCTAATTGTAACAGTGACTCAGCTTGCAAGAATTTGCTATCAGTAAATATCTGGTGTATGTGACAAGATTCAATGGTTCTAAGTGCTCGCTGCTGAGCAGCTAGTTCTTCCTCTGTAGGGACTGCGGGTGGCTCATCAGACTCCAAAGACAGCAGCTGACTGAACCTCGACATCAAGCCTGTATTACGACGCCGATGTCGAACACGTTCAGGCATTTGAATCCTTGTCGACGACGATCCTGCAAGTTTACTATGTGCTGAGTCGCCTGCAAAGCTCCCAGCATAACATGATCGGTGATCATGCTTGTTCATTAGCCAATACAATCGATAAGAAGTGTCAAGGTAAATAAACGAATTTTAAACTACTATGCAAATCCCATATGCCTCCTAAGTCGCACTTACCGAACCCATGACAAATAGTACACACACTTACAAACAAGAGCAGCATCTTACAAGTCAAATATGTGTTCCACAAGAATCCATTCTCACCTGTTGTATTAGTTTTCTCTACTGATTCGTTGGCAACTTGAGCAGGCAAGAGCCCAACCTTCTGCAGCCGTAAAATGCAATCTAAGATATTTCGCCAACCAGTCCTGATGAAATCTCCATATTTGTTTGCAATGTTGAACACTGCGACTGTTGCCATCCGTGCTTTCGTATCACCTCCAAATGCGATAACAGGTTCCTCTTCAAGAGGAAAAGGGTTAAGTAATGTTGTAAATTTGCAGAGAGAAACCACAAGGTCATCCAACACATCCTCCAGACGGTGGCTGGCAGATAATTTGGCCACTGCGAGAAATCCGTCGATGCATAGTTGCAGAACCTACACATATTTGTAAGATTGCTGATTAAAGTCTGCTTGTATACTCGAGTGCCTGCGTGCGAAATAACAAGCACCACAATAAATATTGCATCAACTTATTCACATACCTCTTCATCCTCTGCATGGTCAAACACGACCGATAAGGCAGCAATGGAAGGACCCGATATGATGGGAAACATGTCATGGTCTAAAAGAGGCCGCTCATCACAGTTTATGTACGGTGTAGTAGACACTGATCGACGCATCACATCGATCCACCGACTGTGAGTCATGTTCGCAACGCCAGCCTCACTAACATATGAAATGCGGATTTCATTATGCACAATTGAGTGGTACAGTTCAGCCAACATCTGTCGTGGCAAGTCTTGCCCATCATTGATCTTTCGCAAATTCCTAATGAAGTCATCCTCTGTCATCTTGTTTCGCACCTGAATCCCAGAAACAACGTCAACTGCTTCCCCAGATTTGCCAAAAAATTTAAAGACGAAAACCCAAAAACAAAGAGAACAAAAACAAAACAAAAAAAGGGTCAAGTAATGATCACAAGGGAAAAGTTATTCTTGATGCTGCTAGACAATCTGAAAGGAGCGTCTAACATGATTCTGAAGGTAGTTACGAGAATTAAAACATTCACTCAGCAGTCGCAATCGAGAGTAAATGCACCTCGAGCCTCATGTATCTTTTAAACAAACAAAGATTTCTTCAGAAGTAAATATTAACTCTTTCTCAACAGATTTACTACACGAGCTTCATACACTGACACACATCAATATAAATCTAGATCGAGAACAATTCATCCAGTGTACACAAGATGGAGATGGATGAAAGCACTTGCGCCAGAACGTGACAAACCTGCTTGTTATGTTGATCGGTATTCAACATAATGACCGAGTACGACAGAACAAAAGCCACGTCTTTGCTGGCAAGGATACCTTTCGATTGTTGATAGTACCTATCGGCAAAAGCCTCCACAACTCTATGAATCTTTTGTGCTTCCCCAGGCAATCGAAAACTCTCCAAGAAAAGACGCAACGCCGAATCTATCCTCATATTGCTAAAATCAAAAGTTTGGGCAAACTCATCCAACACTCGAAGACAAAACTCATCAGGGTCTCCAAGGTAATCTCCAATAACGGTCTTGTTTAATCCTGTTGAATACCTGCAGTGAAGACTGATACTCATCACAAGACCAAAATTGCAATATCGAAATAACTGGTCCAAACTAAGAACTACTTACACATGCGATTCTGTTTTGATTGAATATTTACAAAGAGTGCCTAATATATAGATCTAGTAAATTTGGAAGAGCGGACGTATCCACCTTCCAAAATAAAACAAAAAACTATTCGTTTTTACGGTGTCTTTCCTCCACAGAGGGGAAAAAAAAAAAAAAAAAAAAAGTTCTGTTCACGACATTTCTAGCTTAAACATTGGACATCGGAAGTATTGTTCACGACCTAACAGGAAAGAAATGCTTCCGATGTCCAGTTTAAGCTACAAGGCTGCTAATAACATAAATGCATAGAACTCGACAACCATATATGTAAGACTAACTATAAAAAGAAAGCGCATGGACATTGACCACTGCCAATATTAAAAAGATTATTTAGTCATCGCCGGTTAAATACCTGATAAAACAAGCCACGCTTTTAGGATCTAATTCGGAAGGAAGCAACCGCATCCCTTGTAGAAACTCGAGACCTTTCTTGGGGTCCCGATTGAAGTGATCAGCTCCTATCATGAGTCGGCACTTGATGTACTTCTGATGTTTTACAAATTGAACCCAGCTCGAAGGATCATCATAATGTTCACACTTCAATGTCCAAAATGGAATGTATTCCTGGTTGCCAGCTCCCAGATTACTTGATGCAAGAACTAGAATTCCAGTATCAATTCTGTCTGCCATACTTCGTACCACAGCAAGCAATCCTTCTAATGCTAGTACATGCATAGCTGATAACGGGCAGTTGACCGGAAAAGCACTCTTAGAGAGCAGATTTCCTAGATCCTCAAAAGTGTTGCTTAGTGTGGTATCACAATCAAAATTTGCATACATTTCAGGCATGAATGTAGGCTGACGGCAAAAGTCAACAAGCGCTTCCAGAGCAACTTCTTGCTGCTGGTATGTGGCCCCGTGCTTGCCGGATGCAAGACGGATCAAGACAAAGGAAAAGAAAGCCTCCAACTGAAGCTTGACTAGTCCCCGAAGATGATGGTACAGATTTAAAACAATTCCAAATACTAATGATAGAACTATTGGGTTCTGCGAAAGTCCAATCACCATCAGATTTCTGAAGAGCGTATCTTGGATAAGATCTAATAGTTTAGGATGCTTTTTGAAGGCATCACCTCCCAGCTCAAGTGCAGAATTAATCAGCATCAGGGCGAATTGTGGCGAATCTTCGTCACTGGCCAATACAAGCTGGCCAGGGCTTAGGAGGTCCGCGATATTCAGAAGGGAACATAAGAAACTGAAAATTTCGACCATGCATGGTACACCGTAAGCCGCAACAATCGAATCCTCTGCACTACCAACGGTCTCAATGGCAGCATTTTGACTTCCATCGCTTCCGTTCAGGAGATGTGCAACGGCATCCTTTTCAGAGGGCTCATCACTAACAAGCACAGGTTGTTCAGCTTCTGCTAAGTCCGAGCTACCATCAGCAGAAGAGATACTACTTGTGTTTACGAGACCACTGAGCTCATTTGCCTCCTCTGATCCAGACTTATTCTGCCAGAACCAAGCAATAAAAAGGTGAGCTCCTCAATGATCAGTATACAAGAGGCACAGAAAGTAATATATTACCATTCAATACCTTATAAATTATCAAGAGTTCAGAATACATCAAAAGTTCAGAATAGCCGGCATTTTAGCAGGATGTATTTCAGCCCACATTGTCAACCTTTACCAAGCCTGTGCGAAAATCTTAATCAGCATGTCAGCCTATATAGGCATTCAAAATCTGCATGCACAATGTTTCGTTTCATTTGTGTGTGGATAATAGCAACAGATTTTTAAAGAAAATATCCAACACAAAGAGACATACAAGATCCTTCCCAGCACTGGAACTGCTTTCTGTGTTGTGTGGAGCAATCTCGATCGCCAGAGATGTTGGCTTCAGGGAAGGTAGATGAGAGAAGACAGCTCGGACAAGCTCATGCATTGTGTAGCGAGCTGTACGCTGCAAGAGCTCCCCCTTGCTACCAGCTTGATGAACCACTCGAAAAGTGGTGTTCACGATGTTGCAAACATCTCGATCACTCAATACTGCCCCAACTCCACTTTTTAAGGAGACTAACAGCACCTAAAAATCAAAGGATTTACCTCATTAGTTGATAGCAACCTAGGGAAGACATAGGGAATTCAGAGAAGTATAATGAAGGAGAAAGCTGAATTAAAGAATCTAACATTGAGAACGGGTTATCCACCACTAATAAAACCACCACAATTCATGTCAATGTCAAAGTAAAGTGCAATAATATCAAGCCAAAAAGCAAGCTCATTTTGTCCAAATTTGGGGCCTAGTAATTCAAGGATTCCTGAACAAATCTTCATGAATTTAAGAAACGTATATTGCGGAAGTGTCTTCATCCATATTAGATCGAATGTTTCGGAGGATTACATCATAATGTAGGGCCAACTACTACGAATCGTCACGAGGTTCTCATAAGTTGTGGTAAAGGCTGTGTTTAGAAATCAACTCGACCCTCTCTGGGTCAAAAAGGAAAAATGACTCGACTTTAGAAACACACATACCTGCAAAATCTTCATTAACACGACCTCCTCTGACGCTGGATCGGTAACTTCAAAACGACAACTCGTCACAGAATCCACAATTTTGTGCATTGCAATGTCCACGTTAGCGGTCTGTACGTCAAAGATTTCTAATTGAACCATCTTGTACACTGCAGAGAGTGCCACACCCGTAATCTGCGCACCGGTCTCATCTGACCGTATTACATCTAAGAAGGGGGAGAGATACAGGCAAGGGTCGATAGATGGCCATGGTTGCTGCCAAGTAAAAACGAGTCGTCGAAGTCCCTTCAAGGACCTGATGAGGGGATGCTCCAGCTGGTCATCGCTTGCAGAATACCGACCCGCCCATCGTGCATTACGACGCATCACGGCTAGTACGGCACTGACCTCAGAATTCACCATACACGCCAAAGTTCCCTTGCTTCTCCTAGCTTTATCCCTCCACCCGCCTTCCATCTCTGCTCTCGGGGTTCCAACAGATCGACTCATTGACGCATCAATTTCTCAAAAGTCCCTCAAAGCCATGCACTTTCACATCCCCTTCAAACCTCCAGCACCACACTTCCGATCCCAAATAAATCGAGCCCTCTAACTCCTGGAAATGGCCCTAAGCTGGTACCCTAACTTCATCCAGCTCCAATAACAACCCCCAGAACTAGCTCAAACCTTCAACACCTTCAATCCAGCCACAATTAACTGAACTACACCATCCATCGCAAGAGCACGCTCTCCTCAACCCCGATCTACAAGTCGCGACCTCTCTTCCACGTCGATAATACACCCGCATCCATCTGAAAAAAAACCTTTTCCCACCAGTTTCTCCACCGGCTGAACAGATAAAAGAATTAAACAAATATACCACGACACATGCTGGCGAGATTGCGAAGCAGTCGAGGACCTTGGCAGAGATCGACGCTGCAAAATGCCGCCAAGAGTGCGGCCTAATGCAGCAACAAAATCGCCATAGCCATAGCTTGTCCTCCTCGTTCCGCTTTGGCTATGGCGTCCCAACATTCCCCTGATCGGGCATTGACCGTGAAACTTGGGCAGACCCGGACCGATGGGATCCGTGCATAGTATGTGCATTCCAAAACACGGCGTATATCATTGAGTGGTATACGAGTGTACAGTTCCAAATGAGGCTGTCGCGTTCACACTTCCTCGTATTCGATAAAATCATTGCGCATTTACGAGTCAAAATACTGTAACAGACCATTGCATTATAAGAGTTGCTCGGTCAGACGGGTAACAGTAATTTTCGCTGTAGGGTAAACCCTGAGTAGATCTGCTCTCTAGGAAAATAAAACAGAACTTATGGAAATGTGAAGCAGTCCAGTAAAATAGAAAATTCTAAGACTTACAACATTATGCATGTGTAATAAATGATAATGTCACTCTACACCGAGTTCTAAGTAATAATCTTTGACTTGATGGAATGTGATATTAGTTCATCAACTTCTAGAGTACTCTCCATGCACGTCAATCTTAAAATAAATGGGTTTTTCTTCCTCTAAATACAAGACAACTTTATAATCCTACGTAATGATATTTTCAAATAAAAATAACAGAGTGCAATATATAAAGAAATAAAAACCATTTAATAGGGATGAATTCATAAAATACAAAATTATTCTTAAATTAATTTATTGATTTATTAATTTCAAAACAAACAAATAAAATCCGTCATTTAAGAAAATAGAGTCAATTTATAAAATATCAAGCACAAATATGGATTCAGTTTAACTCTCTTATTAAATCAATACAAAGACTTTTTAGACATGTTAATGTATAATAACAAATATAAAAAAAATATTATTTAAGAATATATTTAATCAAATTTAACTCATATATTTGTAAATATATATAATCAAATTTAACTCATATATTTTAAAAAAATTTAATACCTAAGTATTATATAATATATAATATAATTAACTTTTTTTCAATAGTTTTAATTTAATGATTCTTTTATTATTTAAAAAAGAATATTGATGTTATAAAAAAATAGTATACATGCCTTAAATAACTTTAAAAAAAATGCTTAATTAACAATTTTTGTTTTTATTCTTATTTTAAAGATAAAAAATTAATTACACAAAGATATTTGATGTGAATATATATATATATATATATATATATTTTTTTTTACTCATATTTTAAAATTTATAAAAAAAATAGGTAGAAATATATTAGATATAATATCTTTATTAAATAAAATTAAAGAAGTTTTTTAAACACAGATTGTATCTTTAGATTCTTTTAACTATGTCATATGGCTATTAAAAAATAAAATTAAGAATTTCTTACTTTATCAAAGCCATGTTAGAAAGAATGTACAATTTGGACACTTGGAGACACTTTATACAATACTCATTTGACAACTTTGACAACTCAACTTGAAATTAGACAAAAGACCAATCTAAAAATTTATCAAAATATAATAGAATAACTTATCTAGTTAAAAAATTTTCCAACTCAATTTGTTTAATTTACTTCTAATGTGAAGACTTAGCAATCAATTGTTTTTTATCCACTAATTATATTGCTCAAGTCCTTTGTTTACTTGACAATTGGCCAAAGTGCAAAGTGTCCCTTAGACGACATTCTTCATTGTTCATAAAAAACTTTCACAAGATTTTTTTGGTAGCTAATATATGTAGAGACAAGATTAAAGTCCTCTTTAGTATTCTTGATGTTATTGTTCTATTTTTTTATTATTTTTTTTAATTTTTATCTTAGCTCAAATCTATTTAATTCTTGTATAATTATTATTTTTTATTTTAATTCTTTTTTGTCTTATATTTATCTTATTTTTGTTCAATTTTTTTCTTTCATTATGATAAATTCATATATTATCTTTTTGAATTTCTGTCTAAATTCATATCATCAAAAAATAATAAATTAAAATATAACACTAAATATAAAATTAAAATAAAGATAAGATTTAATTTTTTTATTCTTTTGTTAATAATATTAAGTTATTTTTTTATTTTTTTACTATAATTTAAGAAATATTAATTTAGTGAAATAGGAGCTTTTATGAGATATTCTAAAAACTTTCAAATGATTAAATTTTATGTTTTTAAAGGCATTTTAAAAAAGATCAATAAAGCTTCAAAATTACATAAAATATTTAAGACAACTTTAGAAGTCTTTTTTATGAACATATACAAAAGCATAATTATTAATATTTTATAAATATTTTTAAACCTTTTGATCTTTAATTTAATATATTAGAATTTATATTTATTTATAAAATACTTTTAATAATATTCATATTATTTTTGGACATCCATAAATCTAATAATGGATTATTTTTTATTTTATTTATAAATATTTTAATAATATATTAAATAATCTTAATACTTCTCTTTGAGTTATTAATAAAAAACTATAAATTTAATATTAATTTTTTTTATCAATTATGATTAAAAAATATTATTAGACTTTTAATTATAAAATAATTAAAGATAGAATTGTATTATTTAATAAATTAAAATTCAAATAAAAACTATTGGATTAAATTTTTAGGTTATTATATATTAATATAATTTTAATTAAAAAAATAAAAAATGAAGTTTAAAGTCTATGCCAAAAAATTATGCAGTTGAAAAAAATAAGTAAGTCAACTTCACAATTGAATCTAAGAAGTTTTATTATTTCAAATATAATGGAAGTAAGTATAAATTCTTCTAATAATTCTTAATTAATTTAGTTATAAAAATATTAACATTAGAGATTTCTTCTAATAAGACTCCGACTTCAAGAAAATCATTATTTATTGATTAAAAGCTGCATTTCCTTCTTTTAATGCAAGATAAGAACATCTAGAAAGAAATTCTATTAAATCTTATTATATATTAGATTTATAAGTAAACTTAAAATCAAATCTTGATAAAAATATGCTTCAATAGGCTTGGCGACTATTCAAAACATGTGCTAATATAAAGTACTTAAGGTTATTGTAATATGTATATGCAATAACTATATTAGAAGTATCTTCTAGATAATGACACTATTCTTGAAATGACTCTACAATTGTAAGAAATTCTTTGTCATAAATCTCATAGTTAATCTTGATTGCTAAATATTTTTGGAATAAAAATCTACAAGGCAAAGCTTGTCATTTGCTCCTATTCGTAAAAAAACAACATTCATGGCAAAATTTGATGCATTTGTTTCCATAAAGAATGCCTTCAAAAAGTCAACGTGATACAAGATTGGTGTAGAGATAAATGCTATCTTTAAGGCTTCAAAAGATGCTACAACTTTTTTATTTGATTCAAGTTTGACTTTATATATTATGTATATAAGATGAGCCGTAATTTGAAAAACATTCTTGATAAAGATCTAGTAATAATTGACAAATCCTAAAAAATATTAAATATCTCTAATTATTTTTGGAATCTTTCAATCTATGATAATTTAGACTTTCATAGGATCCATTATAAGGCCATTGTTTGAAATGATGTTTCTTAAAAAGTCAACTTGAATATTATGAAATATATACTTTTCCATCTTAGTATATAATTTTGTATCTTTTCACTTTTGTAACACATTATAAACATGAAATTCATATTCTTTTATATTCATTGAATAGATTAGAATATTATCTAAATGATAGATAATAAAATAATCGAGAAACTCACAAAAGACATCTTTTATTAGATGCTAAAAAATTGCTGATGCATTTATAAGTTCAAAAGGTATGACATTACATTTGAAATGCCCATACTTGATTTGAAATATAATTTTTTATTTGTCTCTTTTTTTAATATATACCAAATTATATGCTCTTTATAAATCTATTTTTATATAGATTTTTTCTTGATTTAGTTGATCAAAAAGTCATAAAATAAAATGCACATGATATCTATTCTTGATGGTGATCTTGTTCGTCATCAATAGTTTACACACATCCGTAGAGATTTATCTTTTTTCTTCACAAATAAGATAGAAGTCGTGGTTAGAGATTTAAAATCGCATATGAAGTTTTTAGCCAAATTTTTATTAATATTTTTTTTGAATGCAATCAATTTATTTTGTAATAAGCTTTAAATTGGTCCAAATGGTGGTTGAGCTCTTTCTTGAAGATTGATAGAACAATCATAAAAACAATGTTCTAAAAGAATATTTATATTCTTTTTTTAAAAAAATATCTTGATAATTTTAGTATTGTTAGGAACTATATACAAGACAAGGATGCAAAACTAAAGAATGGAGTTAACTTAATATTAAAACAATAATTAGATATAATGTAACAAGGTCCTAACTAAACGACAAGAAATAAATTGTCAAGACTAAGGATCCCCTTAGCCTCGACTCCTATATATACTAAGTCCCAAGAAACTTCTTAAAAAGTTTTTATGAGGCTTGAAAACAAAGTAAGCCTAAGATCCTTCTTCATCACCTTCCTAAATCATCTACCACCTCTTAGAACCTTCTAAAATCTCCTCTGACCTTCTAGAACTTTCTTAGAATCTATTAGAACCTTTCAAAATCTTTTAGAACTTCCTAGAACCTTTAAGAGCCTTCTTAGAATCTATTGATATCTTCTAAAATATTTTGAAATCTTTTAGAACGTTCTAAAACCTTCTTTAGTTGTATATCAGTGACATCACATCCTCTTTTAGCTTCAAGATGTCTGAGAAGTAATATTGCAATAAGCTAGTATATGTGCAAGAAGTTGAAGATCTGACGCATGGTGTCCATTATATATTCGAGTTGTTTTTTGTGAAGTAAATGGTTTATAGGCCCTTGTAGCCATCGATAGTATCCCAAGCCTTTTACTTGTGACCAAACATGAACTTTGATATCTTTATTATGAAATTGTCCTGCAAACACTTCTTTTGGACATCCTTCATAGGCAAGTTTTACCTCAAATATGATTACTAGTGACCTATTATTAGGTATCCTTCGATGTCTTTATGATTTGAACAACTCTTCATCTTGGAGTCGTCTCCGCAAGCTACTTAATTGAAATGGTATGATCGACAAGGCATCTATTTCTTGACTATCCATATCATAGAAAGTAGACAGGATCAAAAGAATATAAACATGCTAT